CATCTTAAGCCCTTTTGAATCCCACCCACCTCTACTTTCCTTACTCACCACTTTGAAACCTTTTACTTAGATATATGAATATCTAACTATTTTTTTTGAAGTTTGTATCATTTGTTTGTTTGTTTGGTACTGGGGATTGAACCTAGGGATGCTGTACCACAGAACTACATCCCAACCATTCCTGTCTACTTTACTTACTGCTGTAACTCCAGTTTCTAGAATACTACCTGACATATGATAGATGCTCAGTAAATATTTACTCATTAAATTAATGAATAAATGCTAATATAATAAATCGAGTTTAAGGTTGAAGCAAGCACATAAAGGCTATTCTGAAGGAACTGTGCCACATTGGAAAATATTAATGATTAATAGTGTGTAACCAGATATTGGATGCATTGACAGAGGCATATTAATCATAAATCGAGATATAAAATATTTGAATCACTAACCTAAGGTCAGTTAGGTGATAGAAACATTATCTTAACAAATTGACTTCTTTAAATGGACAAAACAGTATTTGTTTTCTTTTCTCTTGTATTGTCTGCTTCTTTTAGAATTTATTTAGAGTTGGAGTAGAATGGGGAATCATGGATAAAAAGGAACCACAGTATTATCATCTTGTTGTGTTAGTTAGCTTTTCATTGCTGTAACAAATACCTAAGACAATCATCTTATAAAGAGAAAGGGTTTATTTTAGTTCATGGTTTCAGAGGCCTCGGTTCATGGTTGGTTGGTCCCACTGCTTGTAGGCCTGTGGTGAGTTAGTATACCATACTGGTAAGCACATAGATGACCACACATGCTCACCTCATGGCTAAGAGGTAAAGAAGAGAGAGGAATATACCAGGGTCCCACAATCACTTTCAAAGATATGCTTCTGGTTACCTAAAATCTTCCATTAGCTCCACCACCTAATAGCTCCACCATTTCCCATTAGTGCCATGGACTGGGGACCATACCTTTAACACATGGGCTTTGGGTAGACAGCCCAGACCCAAACTATATTAATATCTAGTTATATGTATATTTATATCTATAATTTCTAATTCCTTTAAATACTTTCTATGTGACCTGATGAGTTTCAACTTTACAAGTAGATGCATTCTAAATGTTCTTTTCCCCCTTAAAATATGTTACTCTCATATGAGATACATTTAAGATGAGGTTAATTCTGAATAGTATATGACAATCTACAGTGTGGAAACAAAATTGAATTTTTTCGTTAATGAAATTTGGTCAAAGAGCTAGGGTCAGAAAGCCCTTCAGATATGAAGACTCTTTCATGCTGTTGAAATATCTTATGACTGTGAGATTCATCTTATGAGTGTGAAACAACAGAAATGACAATTCAATCATTCTCATTTAAGGTGGAGAATACAATGTAATGTATGTACCCATTCTATTGATGAACATTTGATGCTTCTAATTCAGGGTTATTATGGACAGTGCTAGTATGAACTTCTGAAACTTGCCTTTTAGTGGACATCTGTACACACTGAGGTTTGGTATCTGCCTAGGAAGGAGTGCAGTGTCTGGATGGCATGATGAGTTTCTGTTTGTCTTTAGAAGATAATACCAGCTTTCCAAAATGTTTATAGCAATATTACTCCCACCTACAATATATGAGAATAAAAGAGGCCAAGCACAAGCGTTTTCACATTGTATTGTTCCATTTCACATAAAGTCCAAGACCAAACAAAACTAACTGATGGTGACAGAATTCAAAATAGTGGTTACTTTCAGGAGGTAATGACTGAGAAGGGCCTGGGGAGATTTCTGGGATGTTGTTAATGATCTATTTCTTGGTAGTAGGAGGGCGGAGTTCCCAGACTGAACATTTGTCAACATCTGTACTTTTATGATTTGTGCACACATTCTGTAGTCATGTTAAACTTCCGTAAAAGCTTACTTAAAAATATTTTTTTGTTAAACGAGCTGCCTTGCTAGGGGAAGGAACTCACCCTCTGAGTTATTTAAAGCCTAGGATGGACGAACGGTAGGAAACGGAAACATTTTACAGAAGATTGGATGAAATGTTCTTTTCTACCCTTACATTCTGTACTTTTCTGATCTTTGCCTGGTTGCCTATTATCTTCGCGCCATACACCATTCTGACCAATTTCTTCTGAAGGTAGTGCCCTAAGACTGAACTTTAAACCCTTCTGTTCTAATTGCTGCACAGAGTCCTGGATCTCCTGGAATTCCATTGAAGTGGTTTTGGTACATCTGCTCTGGGTCTTTTGTCAGACAGTCCTCAGTAGCAGAAAAGTGACAGCACTGTTCACACTTCATATGCATGCCCCTTTCTCTAAGTTTTTTTCTAAGCTATGCCAACTGCTCAATGTGTTGGGGCTGCTGTTGACATGATGTTTGCTATTTCAGTCCTTTTGGGTTTTGAGCATGTGAAAGGAATACAAATAGAAATGAAAAGCAAAAAAGGAAAGAAAATGGGGTACAAATGTAAGCAGAGAAACCGTCCTTTTCTTAGGAACTAAAGCTCGAAGTAATGTGAGGGAGGAGGATACAGCAAAGAATTCAACTCGGTGTGCAACAGAGGGAATCCAACATAACAAAAAGAGGAGGTTTAATTCTTAGGAAGCCTTGCTGAACTACATATTTGGTTCGCCAGTAATTGTAAAATCTTGGTTAGAGCATACATAGAAAACCTAAAATTTAGATAGTTTATATCAAAAATAATAAATAAAAAAACCCCAAGAATCCAGGAGCCTTGCTGAAACTTTAGCCAGAGACGGAAAGCAACTTATATCTTTCTATTGTGTCATTTTAAAGAATAGCAGGTATTCACCAGCAGTCAGTGAATATCTGGAGTGCAGCTCCCAATTAGGAATACATGCACTGTTCTTGTCTTTATCTATACCCATCCAATTGCCTACCTTTTACTCTTAAAGGCTTTCTGTCGATTGCAACTGAAAGAGTACTAACTTGTACCCAAATTGACAAGTGTTGAGGAAAACAAAACTAAACTAAACTAAACAGAAAAATCTGGAATTGTTCTGATGAGGGCTGGTAGTGGAGAGTATTTGTCTACTCCTGAATAAAAAGCTATAAGATTTTGGTAATAATTACTAATTACCTGTCTTCTCTCTTGGGATCAGACATTATCCTCTTTGAGGCTGAAATTTTAAGGGTTCAATGGTAATATGTTAGATAACCAGAGATTGCCGAATATTTCTTATGGGCTGTATTGCCCTATTTTTAGAGGGTAAGAAGTTCCTATCCAAAGTTCCTTTGCTGAAAAATAGAATACAAGCAACAGTAAGTATGTAACTTTATTGAAGGAAAATCCTAAACTGCTTAAGACCATACAATCTTGGGTCTTTTTGATCTTCAAAATTAGTACAATGTTTTCTAATACACCCTGCTTCTGATGCTAAAGATAAGAACAATTTGTGATTAGAATGGAGATACGCAGGTAAAGGAAACTCCAATTTCGCATCTATATACCTACAGTATATAGTTGTAGTTGGAAATTTAACCTTGGCATAAACTCTGCCTATGTCTCTTCTGTCTAATATGGTAGTCATTATTAGCCACATGTGGCTACATAAATTTAAATTAATCAAAATTAAATTTCAAAAAAAATTAGTTCTTCATTGGCACTAAACTTATTTCACACATGCCACATGTACATAGTGCCTACCATGTTGAATAGCACAGAAAAAAGAACATTCCTATCACTGGAAGAGGTTTTATTGGATACCTCTGATCCACAACAAAAATATTTATTAGCCAAATTTTCTCACTACCCTAGTATGGTCTATTGTGTTTTGTATATGCTCCAAAGCTGAGAACTTAAGCAGAAATTTGAGGATGAGACAGCTAGGGGTTTGCAGTTCAGTTCTGTCTGGGCTGTGAGAGTTTTAATATTGCTAATTAGTAAAGAGTATCTACAACAAAGACAATGGGTGGCGGCTAGTTGAGTACCTATGGCAGGTGTATGCGAAAGATTCATAGGATTGAAAAAAAAATTTACTGTGTTTCTCAGACTCTCAGGCAATTCAGTCCCTAAAATTAACATCAAGAAACTTGAACATCTAAATCAGGAAAATCCAAAAGGGTGCCACAGTTTCTCTATCATGTCTTCTTAGTGGGGGCTACTGAACTTGGGAGTCCATATTGATTAATTAAGGGGTTTGGTCAATTGTAAAAAAGTTCATCATCCATCCAGTGCATACCACGCTATCACCATCAAGAACTACTGAAGATCTGACATGTTTCCCTTCTAGTTTTTGGAGGGAGTGTGGGGGGGATTGGGGGGGTTGCCAAGGACTGAACCCAGGAGCTCTTAACTACTGAGCAACATCCCCAGCCCCCCTTTAATTAATTAATTTATTTATTTTTATTTTGAGACAGGGTCTTGCTAAGTTGCCTAGGGCCTCAATAAATTGCTGAGGCTGCTCTTGAATTTGGGATCCTCCTGCATCACTGGGATTATAAGCATGTGCTACCAAACCCAGTTCCCTTTCTAATTTTTTTAAATAGGTTTTTACTACTGCTATTTTTTTTTCTCGCTACCATTGGATATTGGGCTGCAGTAGGAAGAGATATCATGTGTGTTTCTTAATCCATATATTTTATGTTCCTCAAGAGCTACATCTGGATATGAATGACAGAGCTATCTAGAGAAAAAGGGTTATAGGGTTGCTGAACTTAGACTATCATAATTGTGTATGGAACATTAACAGAAGGCAGTCTAGCCTAGTCTTCTTTTGAATTGGGGTGAGCAGACTTGTAGCATTATATGGAATGAGTAAATCATGTTAAACAAGGGCTCATTAGGAATTGTTATGAAAAAAAAGAGGAAATGCATGTACTAGAGGCATGAAATATACATATATATCCATCTAACTGATGAAATTATATATATATATATATATATAAATAAACTTTTGAGGAAGGTTAATTCCAGATCTGTTAGAATGTCTCTTTTCCATCTGATATATTTTTGATTTTGTACATGGCCCCAGACTCCTGACCCATGGAGATTGGAACAGAGACAAGTATGTATTCCAAGGCTTTTGCCAGTTCCTATCATGTGGACAGAACTAATGAGTCCAGAGATAAACACCTGACCTAGACACCATGAAGTTAAATACAAAAGTTAAGAATATGATCACAACAATGCTTAGGAGAAAAGAACACTGGATTAGGAGCTAGGAAGTCTACTTTCTACTTATAATTAGTCAGTGTATTCAGAGTGGATCTAGTTACTTTTTCTCTCTGGACCTAAGTTTCTTCATGCATGAGAATGAGGGTTTGGTATTAAAATATTCCTATTCACTAGTGTGTATTTTATGAAATGTATGTATGTTAATGGGTACGTACAAAGGGGGGAAAAACTTTCTTGCTCTGATCTGAGTTTACCAGGTTTTTTTTTTTTTTTTTTGCCTTAAGACTTCTCAGACACTTAACAATGTGTATTCTGCATCTGCTAGAAAGACCAAAATATGCATTGTTTAGTTTCTTTGCTGTCATTACTCTCCTGGAGCCTTTCTCAGGGCTCTGTTTCCATAGAAAACACTTTGAGAAATTTGGGGACCTTTTCTGATATCTTTCATTGCTCCTATCTGCCATGGAGTTCATGATCACAATCCAGTGGGGAAGAAATCATTTAATGTTGGGCCTACACAGTTTGCAAACAGCCCCTCATTTCACTCAGAAGTCTTGGGAGGAACCCAGATGCATTGCTTGCACAGTGCCAAGCAGGCAGCTTGACTGGATTTTTCTTCAAATCAGGCAAGCCTATTGGCATCAAGTGGAGCCAGAGGAGAGAGCGTGCATTCCGGGGCTCCTTTTTCATTAGCCACGCAGCAGCTGCGGCTCATGGCTGAGCTGTTCTTCAGCTTAACTGGGCATGTATCCAGCAGCATGAAGAATATAGAATGGAAAGAGAGGGATAGCATGCTTTCTTTTAGGATTTGAAGGACAGAAACCTACTGTCTTATCCTTAACTAAGGGAATCCTAGAATGTGTTCCCAGTATTCCAACATTTGAAGGAATTCAAAAGGTCATCTCATCCAGCTACCTGATGGATGGATACCCAACATCATTTTTGCCATGGTGTTAGACATTTCCATTGATAAGAAACACACTGACTACAAAGCAAACCAATGTACTCATTCTGATTTCATAGGCAAAAAAAAAAAAAAAGTCTCTCTCTTTTATTTTGGTTCATAATGTGACTCCATGAAGATTCCATCTGTTGGTTTAGTTCGATCTTCCAGAGTCATTCAGATTGAATCTCATTCCCTCTCACAGAACAACCTTAAAAATTAGAGGCAGAATTACCATGTACTTCTGAATATCTGATGAAATAATGTCAGTAAAGCTGCTTTGAAAATTTTCTGTTATAATAGACAGGTATAGAATATTATGCCTAGCTTGTTGTCAACTTTTAGTATCATCTTTATCTCTCAAAGTTAGGGTGCACAATCAATACTGAGGTCACTGGGTAGCAATATGAAAAGAATATCTATATAGCTAAAACTAGCAATATATGTAACATAATGCTTTTGTTAGCATATGAGTAAATATTATAGTTGACATTGAGCTGTCAGATAGAAATCCCCAAATATATAAGCAGCAGCTGAAGTCAGACCCTACACTGGCAGTGAGTTATTGTCTGATGTTGAACAATATAATGAGCTTTTCAATGGCCAGTGGGTGAAGCACTCAGAGGAGGGGCCTAGCCAGGGATTCAATCTAGGGCACTGTTTGATCTGTGGCCAAGTTGGTTCCAGATATCAATGACAACAAATCCTACCAGATATGCATATCAAGAACTTAGTAACATAATATTTGGGTCTCCATGGTTTTTCTCTTGGGTGTATAAATGTAGTTAACATGTGTTTCTGCCAATGAGAGGATATTTTGTTAGGTGAATCACCATAAAATTTGGGGAAAGTAAAGAGCTTTCAAATGTTCTAACTACAGAAACTAGATATGCATTAATCAATCCTTTTGAAGTCTTCCACGATCACTTTACATCCTAATTGACTTAAAACAAAACAAATCTTACTATAAATGCCTATAGTTACATGAAAGAATTGTTCCTTTGATAAAGTACTTCTCAAGATACAAGATGCCAGCAAAATATCAAGTTAAACATTTCTATAATCCTGGGGTTTAATCAATTTTTTTTATTTCTTCTGTTCAAATGAAAATTCAGTATATTTTGAGCCTACACTGAGGAAAACTTAGGCCAAATGATTCTTTTTCCATTTTAGTCATTTTAAGAGTTCATCTTTATTGAATAACTTGTTTTATCTCAGAAAAGGGGCTCTTTATTATTCATCTTAACTAATATATCTCAAACTACCCTGCCTTTTCTAGGAAAATTTTTCTCAATATTTTTATCAGAGGTAAATGATCACTCTTTATATTAAGCAAGTTTATTTTCTAGGAGATACTTTAAAAACAAAAACCTTGCATCTTTTCTAGTCTACTCTTTTCTGAGAAGCTAAATTCTTTTTGAAGTATTTGTTGACATTGGACTAAAAACACCATTTAAAAATACTAAGAATATTCCAGAAATACCTATGTTGAACAACATATATCTAAAATTAGCCCCCTTCATTACCTAGTAAAATTTTCTATCTAATGATGAAACATAATAAATTCCTAATAGTTGAATATCTAATATTCTTTCCTTTCTTCCATTAATCTGGAGAGGGAGGTGGGGGGTGGGTAGGTAGAGATGGAGATCCAGAACAGGCAACACGTTGTCCATCCTGAAGCATCTCAGCATTGGTCTTTCAATCTCCCTACAAGCAACACAATGAGAGCAAATGTTCTTTTTAACATGTTTCAGGTTGGCACCATATGAGAGGAACTCTGAAGTGATGAGACCCAAAGTTTATATAGGGTGCCACAATGTGGGCTCATCATTTCTCTTTGTTCTAAAAGGAGAAACCTTTACTTTTGAATGAAAACAAATCTTCCCTGAGGAGGGGGTGATGGAGGAAGGGTTTGCCTACCTTGGTATGTAAGTAAATGGCTCCGGGATAGGTTAAGTCTTTGAAACTCTTACACCACATGCTATTTCTCACCTCTACGAAATTTTCTAGTCAATCATTCTTTAACCAAGTTTGCTAGGGTTTCTTGCTTCTAAATCTGGAAAACATAGAAACATAGAAATATTCCTGGGTCTCCAAAACACTATCCATTGATACATCCAATGAACATCTACTGAGCTCTTAATAGATCTTCTACATGGAGACATATTACACATAATCCAAGCACAGAAAGTAATAAAATAGGCTTATCATCCTCTGGATATTCACAGCATGGAGTTTGTATTTCTCCAGTGGCAAGGGTTTCCACTGCTTCACAATGTAGTTCATTTTATTTCTGAGATGTTCACATTGTTAACAAATCACTTCTTATAGTATACTTAAGTCTAATTTTATGCAATTTCACTTACTTATTGGTTCTTTGTAGACTTTCCAGAGTAACTTAAAATATTAAGTTACTCTGATTGTTTTCAATTAATAAATTTAAACTTTCTTATTATGAATAATTTCTGAGCATGTTATCATCTGAATTATTTAACCCAATAGTTTTCCAAGGCTTACTTAAAATTTCTTCTAGGCATTTTTTTAAGCAATCAAGATACAGAATGAAACTATCCCCTGTATATTTTGTCTGTATGTAACACATTTTTCTTGGCCAACTATTATAGTTAAACTGGCTTTTTGAAGTTATCTTTTCTATATCTAATAAATTATTTATAAGGAACCTTGGTGCCATGAATAATACTGCTTTATGATAATCAATAGAAATGGTAACAGTATCATTAAGAATTTTTATTCTGCTAAAGTTAATAATAATAATGAAAATCATGCTTAACACTTCTTCGTGAATTCATGTTTTGAACAGTAGGTCTCTTACTAGTGTTGATGGATCCAGCTTAGACTGACTACTAAAATAACTGGACTAATTCCAGTTATCAGGATAACTCTGCTAATGCACATGTATATTTAAAACTGAGTCTGAATTTATTTTCTCTATACTTTATCTGCTTTAATGAATAGACACTATCATAATTTAAATTTGAATCTAATTTTCTATTAATAGTAGAAATATAAGATCTACTTAAGAAATTAAATAGAAAAATACTCAGAGATTATGGAAAGTACTTTAAATCATTAGTATAAAGATTAAGAATTCAAAAGCAGATATTTTTGAGGGATTTTTATGTTCAGTAGACTTTTTTGGGCAGGAGAGTATAAATAACATTCACTGGACTTACAGACAAAACCTAATAAAGTTTACTTCTAGTGCAAGAGAAAGAATAAACAAGATGAAATAAGTAAAGCATATTGCATGAGTTAAATGACGACAAATTTTCAGGGGAAAAATTAAAATTAAAGTGGAGAATAGAAAAGGTGGTATAAAAGGGAATGGAAGGAAACATTTTAGACAGGTTTAAAGGTGCCTGGGAACCTGCCCTTCTAATGTTCATTTTAATTTCAAATCACACATCCACAAGAAATTAAAGCTAAGTTTTAAGAAATCTTCTTTAGTAACTTAGCTTGTTGTTGATGTGTTACTTTGTAGTTCAGAAATTCCCTTTTCTGTGTTTTAGCCTTACTTTTTCTCTGTCCTCACCAACTTTCCCATTAGAAGAGGGAGATGACCAACTACATGGGAAAATCTAAGACACCCACTTGATGGGAATTCTTAACAATTTTGTTAGTGGATGCAAATCACATGAGAAAAAATATCTCAGCCCAAACACCCAAAAGCAAGAATGTGTGAAAATATGACAACTTGGACTTAAAATGAGGAACTCCCAGATGTTCTAGGGCTGTTTGTGTTTAGCCACAACGACGTGAAATGGATTCAAAAATACTTTTCTCTGTTTGATCCTAGCTTGGCCTCCCTGCTCTATCAAGTAGTGCTGAGCACACAGAGCTCTACACTCTCTAATGTGTGCTGAGAGAATGGATGCTTTTTAAAGTATTGGCCTGAACACACCAAAATAAGGAGATAAATAAACTTAAAATAACATCACACATATTTGGATTCCAAAGTAACTTGTTTTTGAGTTATTTGTTTCCCTGGCACAAATATTCTAAGATAATTAAAGGTAGGTATGCTTTCAAGGGATAATGTTTCATGTTTAAAGCTCTTTTGGGAAATAGAAGCTAACAGGAGCATGACTCCTAATATTTCCATGTATTCACCTGTGGAAATTCTACATGAAGCCTCATCTCATTTCTTCTCCTCAATACAGCCTTTGCCAACCAAACTAATGTACCTTGACATCTCTTCCTCTGTGGCACTTATTATTCATGAGTGGATTTGTTAAATTTTCATGTTTTTTCTCCTTTCTCTAATATATAATTTCCTTAAACACAAGAAAGTTTCCTCATGAATATTTCCCATATTCTTCATTACACCCAAAACCTAAGTGCCATTCAAATAGTTACCTCTTGGTTGATGGACTGATTCTTCTTCTGGTCTTGCTTATGGTGACTCTTGTTCTATCCAACATGGTAGATGGGTAGCATAATTGCAGATTATTGGGAAATAACAGAAGTGACAGGACCAATTTGAATTCTGAAATCGGAGGAAGTGATGGTCATGAATAAGAAAGAGAGAACATTAATCAAGCCTTTGGGCAGCTGCACTTCCTAAGAAGAGAATCCCAGAGCAGAGTGCATTAGTTTCAAACTCAAGCACAAGTGTTCTGCTCTGTTTCTTTGCTTTTATTTATTGATCTTTATTTTGCTAATCATGAGCACTATAGTAGGACCCTCTGGCAGAGTTCTCGTCTTCCAGCCATAATGAAATCCAGAGGAAATAGTCATTCGAGTGCAAAGAAAAGTCCCAACTCAGGATGACACAGGGAAAGATTAAAAAACAAATGCACATTGTAGCTTTGGAACTTACATTTCAATTTTCTTTTAAAAGATTTACTTCTCCCCATAGCACTTAACTTGGATTCTTATTTGCAAGGTGGAGACTCAATAAAGTGCTAACATCAAGACTTGTGATTAAGAAAAAGCACTACGTAAAATCATTATTTTAAATGATCACAAATATATTTTCTATGTAATTCTGACATTCTTTTATATTAGAAGAGTTGGAAAATTTCATTCTAAAATTGAAAATTGTTTTTATCCTTGATCAAACTCGGAGGGATAGTTAGTTAACTTGGCTTAGTGTTGTCATCAATGCAGTTCTCTCATTTGCTTTTTCCCAACTTGATTTTTCTTGTGCCTCTCCTATGCCTAAACATTCCTCCAATTTCCTCTTTGAATTATCGTATTTTGAGACTACAATCTTCCCTCTCATCTCAGCCCCCATTTCTACCATCTAGCCATTCTCTCAGGAAGACCAGTTACTTCCTGCTTTTACATCAACTTCTACAAAATTTTATCTGAAGATTCTCAATCTTGATTCTATCTTATCATTCTTTGTCTCTTTTCCTTTCCCTATATTGCTAAAGATAACTGCATAACTCTGCAGCTATGTCACTGGATACTCAGATTCCCAGTAGGAAAGGACTATCATCATCACTCAATAATCCTTTCATAGTTGTGTAGATATTCTTGCTCATTTCTTCATTGTTATGTTGATAATTTGTCATGTTCCTCTTTTAGTTCCTTTATCTTCTCTCTCATTAAATGATATTATGTTCTCTTGCAATCTAGGTCTTAAATATATAGATCCATTGTTTCTGTACCTATTGGGTTATCTTTTCATTTGCTGTGATCAAAATGCTTGACTGGAACACATTAGAGGATGGAAAGTTTATTTAAGCTCATGGTTCCTGAGGTTTAATCCATGGTTGGTAGAGTCCATTGCTCTGGGCACAGGTGAGGCAGAATATCATAGCAGACAGGCTTGGTAGAAAAATGCTGCTCCATTTATAGCAGCCAGAAAGAAGAGAGAAGGAAGTGGGGCCATAGGAGAATGAATCTTTTCAGGGCACAACCCCAGTAATCCACTTCCTCCAGCCACACCTTACCTACCTATATTTACCACCCAGTCAGCTCACTCAAACTCAGATGGACTGCTTAGGTTACAACTCTTATAATCTAATTATCTCATTTTTGAGTATTCTTTTATTAACACAGGAGCATTTAGGGGACACTTCATATCCAATCATAGCACCTATAAAGTCATCGCTCTTCTATTCCCTTTCTGATTTCAAAGGAATGGGAGTTCTTACCCTTGATCCAGCCCTTTTTACTTCATTCCCCATCCCCTTGCAAGATGAGATCCACCTATTGGTTGTATTCTCTTTTCCTACCACTCACAAAGATGCTTGAGTCTCTTTCATAAAATCCAAATTCCTAAAGATTTCTGTCACCTGCTAGCTATTACCTTAAGCTTTCCTTCTATTCAAACTTTAGCTTGTAAAAGAACAGTCCACAATGATTCTTTACTCTTTAGCATCCTTTGCTCTTTTCAAATTAGTTTCTAAAGAGTTTATTTAAACACATGTCTAGAAAGTGCACAAGTCCTGCATAAAACTTGATAAATGTTTCTGAACAAATCTCTACCAGCACCCTAGATGCCTCTTTGCCACTACTTAAAGTCACTAGTAGTACTCAACATTCATTCTTTTTTCAAATTACCCTTTTTTAAAGTATGTTTTTATTATAAACCCTAAATATAGAAAAGTGAACAAAATGTAAATGTACAATTAAATAAAATATTATAAAGTGAATTACCATGTAACTAGAATCTAGGCAAAGGAATGAGGTACTGTCAGCAGCCCAGAATCAACTCAACCCTTCTCTACACGCTACACTCTGACCTCTTCTTCTTAATCAGAAGCCATCTAGAGGCAACCATTTTCTTGGCATTTACAGCAACCAATCCCTACTGGTCTTAATAGTATAATCACTATGTATTTATTTCTAAATAATATACTTTGATCATGTCCTTCAGATAAGCTTTTCACTTAATATAAATGAAATCATGTGCTGCATGATTTATGTTCAAAGATTTATCTTGATGGAATAAAGAATTAATACATTCTTTATTTTTCTGTGCACCATCCTATACCTATAAGCACATGTATCCATAGGGTAGAAACCTAGGAGTAAAGCAGCTAAGGCATGTGATATAAATCTTCAACTTGACTAGAAAATGACAAACTATTTCCCAATAGATTTGACTAATTTATGTTACTCCTAGCAGGGAAGGAGTTCATTATCTTTTCTTTTGTTATTATGTAGCCAATCTAAGTTGGACTTGTTTCTTATTAAGATTGTACAACTCTTTCTCTATTTTATAGGTTTACTTTTTTCCTTTCATCTTTTGATTATAGGTTTATGATATTTCTTTATATATTCCTGATATGACCCTTTGTCAGTTATATATAAATGTATTAAGTATTTCCCCCACCATGGCCTGACATTTAATTTTCTCATGATATCCTTTCATGAATTAATTTTTTATATAATTTAATGTCATAAATGTACAAATGCTATTTGACTTAAAATTGAGTTATATCCCAATAAATCCAGAGTGAATTGAAAATATATGTGAAAATGAATTTAGTATACCTACCCTACCAAAAAAATCACAGCTTAGCTTAGTCTACTTTAAACATGCTCAGAACATTTACATTAGTCTACAACATTGTGTGAAATTATCTAACATAAAGCCTATCTTATAATGAAGTTTATAATATCTCATTTTAACATTGTACCAAAGTGTAAAACAGATGATTTGGGGGGTACTACTCCTTATTAACATACACAGCTGAAAAGCATACTGGGCCTTAAAAATCTGTAAAATGTTGAATTAAAACTAATTATAGGATAGTGTAGGTGTTACAGAAACAAGGTCATCAATTTCTCTTTCTTTTGAAGAAGTTCAAGAACAGCTGGTAGAAAGCATGGACAGACACTTGATAGTTTAGCAGATATGAGTGTTTTTCAGAAATATATCAAATTTTGACTAAGCAGTGTGTATCTTCTTTTCATTATATATTTATTCATCACAAGCAAGAGCATCCTGTGTCTGCCTGTCAGTTCTTGTGAATCTCTTGTAATTGACTTCCATTTCTTCTAACATTCATGTACCATTGCTGATAGGAGGAACTACCTCCATTGATTTCTTTGCTGTGAACTTTCTTGGTGCCTTGGATATAGCTTCTCCTTCTCTGTCTCAATTTCTTTAATTCTTTCTTCCTCTAATTCTTTCCATTCCTCATTAGAAAGCTCTTCTTCCTCAGTTCCAACCAGGTCGTGAGTATCTTCTTTGTCACTGTCCAATTCTATCTTTTTCCTAATCACTAACTGTGTTGCTTTCTATTTCAACAGAAGAATATTTGTTAAAAACCTTTGAATGTATTTACATATTTCCTAAAAACTTTATTCCGAATGCCATTCATGCATTGCTGTGTGGCTTTTTTTCATGCTGCAGCAGTGTCTGGTTACCATTTAGTATATTAAAACCTTTCCCAAACTTTCTGAATGTTTGGTCAGATTAAGTAGCTTCGATAACTTGTACAAATGTTTGCTGTAAATAGTGTGATTCGAGCACAGCTAGTGTGCTTTGGTCCACTGGTTGAATGAGTGTGGTTCTGTGCAGTGGCAAATACAGAACCTTTATATTAAGTTGCACATTGTTAATACAGTGTAGAGGCCATGCATTATTGTTTTAGATGAGAAGAATCTTAAATAGGTGGTTGTTTTGTCTATAGGATTCTCCATCTTCCAGAATTTAACATTTCAAACCAGTCTTTAGACAATGTTGATGCCATCCAGTTCCTTGTCATGGTAATAACAAACAGGAAATACATGCTCGCTCACATTTTTGAATGCTCTGGGGTTCTTTCGGTGATACGTTAGAAAAAGCTTTAAATTGAACCCTGCAGTATTTCCATCCCAAAGAATCATTGCATGGTCATCGTTCTAGACAGTTTTTGTGTTTCTGTGACCAAAATACCTGACAAGAACAACTCGGAGGAGCAAAGGTTAATTTCGGCTCACTAAAGCAGAGATCTCAGTGCATAGAGGGACAATTCCACTTCTCTGAGCCAGAATATCATGAGGGCAGAGCACATCAGAGAGAAGCTGCTTCCCTGAAGGTAGCAAGGAAGCAGAAAGATAGTGAGAAGGGCCACAGAGAAGATGCATCCTTCCAGGTCATGCCTCCAGTGACCCACCTCCTCCAGCCATGCCCCAACTGCCTAGAGTTACCACCCAGTCAGTCCATTGGAACTACGATGGACTGATCAGGTTTACAACTCTCATAATCCAACCACTTTCTTTATTCATGCATTAACATAGGAGCTTTTTTGGAGAACATCTCACATCCAAACCATAGCAGTCACTGAATACCTTGCACTGTCTTGGACTCTCCCTGAATGGTTGTATACTCTGTCATACACTGGCAGAACAAGTTTGTTTAATTAATATTAAATGTTTGTTCTGGCAAATATTTCTGATCTACAATTATCCTATGCAGCTCTCCCTTACAAACTTCATCACCTGCACTATCAGCACTTGCTACCTCATTGCTGACCCTCATATCATGAAAATGATGACCATTTTTGAAGCATTGAAATCAACCATGCACAAATGTTTGCATACATATAGGATCACTGGCATGTCTTACCTGGATTATCAGTAGGCTGAGCCATATGCACTTGTGCCTCTGGTCTTCCATCCACAAGGCAAATAATTTTTCCATATCATCAATTGGCCCAACTCTTTCCTTTGTGATGTCAGTGAATTTAACTGACAGTTTTATTGCATCAATGATCTGCTTCTCATCCATTAAGATGCTTGAGACCATTGATAGTGATAGTTCTAGCTCACATGCCATGACTCACAATCTTCAGGTAAGAAATCTCCTTGAGTTTCATCTCAGGAGTAATTGTCTTCCTCTTCTCACTAGAAATAGAAGATACAGTTGAGCAATTGTTTAGATGCAATAGAATTCATTAAACACAATATCAAAAGTTGTTGGCAACTCAGTAAACTATAGAGTATTTGTTGTTTATCTCCATGATCACATGGCTGACTAGGAGCTGCTGCTCACTGCCACTGCCCAGCATTGTGGGAGATTCATACTAGATATCACTATACTGGGAAAAGATCAAAAGTCAAATTTTTTTTTTTTTTTTTTTTTTTTTTAAAGAGAGAGTGAGAGAGAGAATTTTTTTAATGTTTATTTTTTTTTTAGTTTTCGGCAGACACAACATCTTTGCTTGTATGTGGTGCTGAGGATCGAACCCGGACCGCACGCATGCCAGGCGAGCACGCTACCACTTGAGCCACATCCCCAGCCCAAAAGTCAAATTTTAATATATGGTTTATATTGAATTTTCATCTCTTCCATACCATAATGAATTTGAAAAATCTTCATTTGGGAACTGTGTGTCAAATTTCCATTTCTGTAATAAAATACCTGAGATAATCAACTTCTAAGGTTGAAAGGTTTATTTTACTTATGATTTCAGAGGTTTCATTCCATGGTTAGTTGTCCTGTAGTTTTGGGGCCTGTGGTAAAGCAACATACCGTTGGAGTGTGTGATAGAGGAAGTTGCCCACTCATGATAGCCAGGAATTGTCCCAATACCTCTTTGAGGCCATGTCCACCAGCTCCTAATAGTGCCACTGGGTGGTGTCCAAGCCTTGCACACATGGGCCTTTAGGTGACACTTATCCAAACCATAGAAATCTGTGTTATTTTTTTCTTTATGGATATAATGTTAATTTTAGGTATCAACTTGACCTGATCAAGGGATACCTAAATAGCTGGCCAAAAGTTATTCTGGCTGGGTCTGTGAGCATGTTTCCAGAGAAGATTGGCCATGTAAGTCAATGAGATAAATGGGGCAGATCCACCATCTGTGTGGGAGGCATTATCCCCTCAACTGGGGACCTAGATAGATAATAAGGTAGAAAAAGGGATTTCTTTTCTCTCTCTTAGAGCTGGAACAGTCTTCATCTTCTCCCCTTGAACATCAGAACTCCAGGCTCTTCAGCCTTTGGATTCAGAATTCACACCAGTAGTACCCTAGGTTCTCCTTCTTTTAACTTTGGACGGAGAGTTATACCATTGTTTTCTCTGGTTCTGAGGTCTTGGGATTTGGACTGAACTACACTACTTGCAATCCATTATCTCAAGCTTGCAGATAGCCTGTCTTGAGATCTCTCATTCTCTGGAATTATAGGAGCCAATTCCCCTAACAAATCCTATATCTATCTACCTAATGTTATAGGTTCTGTCTCTCTGGAGAGCCCTGACTAATAAATACTATGGTCTATAGGTTTTGCATCTTGTTTGGGATGTTTTTGCTTCTGGATTTTAAAGATACTCCCCAGCCCCTCAATATTATCTTTTTGAAATTTCTTATTTGTATTTTATATTTAGATCTATAACTCCCCCTGTTTTAGTCAACTTTTTCACTGCTGTGACTAAAAGATCTGACCAGAACAATTGTAGAGGAGGAAAAGTTTATTTGGGGGCTCACAGTTTCAGAGGTCCTAGTCCCTAGATGGCTGGCTCCATTCCTCGGGTCTTGAGGTGAGGCCGAAGATCATGGCAGAAGATTGTAGCAGAAGGAAAGAGCTCAAATGGTGATCAGAAAGCAGAGAGACAGCCTCCACTCTCGAGATACAAAACATATGCCCCATAAACATGCCCCAGTTCTCACCTTCTATAGCCACACCCTCTCACTTCAGTTACCACTCAATTAATCCCTCTCAGGAGATTCAATTACTGATTATGTTAAGATTCTCACAACCCAATCATTTCTCTGCTGAACCTTCTTGCATTATCTCACATGTGAGCTTTTGGGGATACCTCACATTCAAACCCTAACACCCCTTCAACTTTTTATTATATTTGTATGACACAGAGTGCAACTTCAGCTCTCCATAGAATATCTGACTTTATCAATATCACTTCTTTAAAGGACTGTCATCTCCTGATGACTCTACAGTGCCACCTTGTTATACACTAAGAGTCTGTTCATGTTTGGGTCAGCTTCTCAGTTTTCTATTCTGTTCCATTCAATTGTTTCCTTATTCCTGTATCAATTATGTATTATCTTAATTACTATGGTTTTGTAAATCTTGGCATCCATAAAGCAAGGCTCACCTACATTTTCTTCATTAATTATAATTTGTTTATATTTGTTAGAAGTATTCCTAGCTAATACTTGATTCTTTTGATATCAAATAAGTCTCTTGTTAAATTTATCCACTTTGTGCTGGCATCTATAAAATGATTGTCTTTTATATTTTATCTTTTCTATTTTAATCTAGCTTGATCAAAATTCCTTATTAATTAAAAAGACTCTTTTGGACTTTCTATTTAAATTTAATTTCTTCCTTTCCAATCTTTATATGTTATTTCTTTTCCTTTCTACTAAATGTTTAGGACCTTTAGTTTAATATGAGTCTTGATCTAGAGTATTATTGTTATTTTAAATCCTTAAATTTTGGTTTATTATATAATAATTGATAATGAAACCATTTTCCTCCTATTCTTTTAGGGATTAGTTTAGAAATTCTAATGTGTACTTTTTAGTGTTATGGTTTATATCTGGAATGTTCCCTAAAATCTCATGTTCAGAAAGCATGGTTCAGAGGTAGGGCTTTTAAGTAGTGATTAGTGTTCTGGCCTCTTCATTGCATTAATCTACTTGGTGGTTTAATTCATTTATAGTAGAATAGCTTACAGGTGGTACCTATAGGTAAATAGGTCCCTCCTTCCTCTCTCTCTCTGTTTCCTGGCTTCTGTGGGCTGAAGAGTTTTCCTCTGCCATGCACTTCTGCCATGATGGTTCTGCAGTGAACTCAGATGACCCGAAGCCATTTCTATGTTTAATCTGAGACAGGGTCACACTAAATTGCCAAAGCTGGCCTTGGACTTGCAGTCCTCCTGCTCAGCCTCCATAGTCACTGGGATTACGGGCAGATTCCCCTGTGCCCAGGTCTGGGTTTTGTTTTTGCTAATAAGAAATCAGTTGTCTATCTATTTATTCTCCCTTTGAAATAATCTTTTCGTATCTCACTGATTTATAGATTTTTGTGTTTCCTCTGTCTTCAGTTTCAGTAAATTGGGATTACGCATGTATTTCTCTTTTTTTCTTTTTGTGCTTGAGACTTGATCTACATTTTTCTTTAGTTCCAAAAAATTATCAGCCATTACCTTTGACAAATATTGTTTGTGACCTCTGATTAAACTTATAATAAAACTTCTCTGTCTGTTCTACTTCTGTTTTCCTTGTCTTCTCTTCTGTTTTTGCACTGTGTGTGGGTGGGGGTGAGGGTACTAGGGATCAAACCCAGGGTCTCATGTGTGCTAGGCAGAAACTCTACCACCCAGCTATATCCCCAGCCCCCCACTTTTTTTTTTAACATCAGTGCTGCTTCCTGAACAGTGCTGCCTGGCCTGCTTCTCAGTTCACTTGCTCTCTCTTTTGCGATGCCCATTCTTCTGTTAAACTTGTCTACTCCATTTTTAAGTTTCACTTGTCAAGCTTTTTTAAATTCTGGAAAATGTATTTATTATTCCAAGTCTATTATGCCATTCTGTAGTCTCAGTTCCGTGAAGATGTATTCAATCCATTTTAAAAACCTATCTACATCTGCTAATTTTAATATATGGGTCTTTGCAAATCTTTTTCTATCATTTGTATTCTTTAGTGTGGTTTCACTCACTGGGTGTAAATTCCTGATCTGCCTGTTTCTTTGCTACATGCTAAGTGTTTTATTTGTAGTAATAATTTATATAAATAAAAAAGTTAATATTTCTCCAAATATGATTTACTATTGTTCTAGCCAGGGTGCTTATTCTCTTATAGTTTGGATTCACCTCAAACAAGATCAAAGTGATTGTAAATAGTCTAATATTCTCCCATGAGAAGTTCAGTTGGCCCTTACTTTACTGTAAGTAAAGACCCTAGGCTCTTTTATGTGATTGAATGGGAGTATCTGTTCCTTTTACTTCTGTCCTCATTTGGGAAGACTATCAAAATCAAAATTAAAATAACCAGGTTCAGTAAATGGTTTCAGAATAAAGCAGCTCAAGAACTCATTTTTCTATTTTTAATTTTTAAAAATTCTTTTATTGGCTCTTTTTAGTTATACATAACAGTAAACTTCATTTTAATGTACTTGCACAAACATTTATTTCTCTATTTTATCTTCACTTTTGAACTAATGTTTTCTTTTTGGGTCTCTTAAACTCTCGTAACATGATTTTTTAATCCACATTTTAGTTGTTGCTTTTCTTAGTGGAAGAAATGAATCAAATGAGTTGCTACTCACTCTTTAAGATAGGTGATATATTCCTTTCTAAAGTCTAAATTCAAATAATCTTGACAAATTGCCCTGTACTGAAGCTGTACCAATTTGCAGTCTTACCACTAGTACATGATAATGCTTGTTTGTTCCCATCCTTATCCAAATTGTATGCCATCAAAATTTGGAGCCTGTAATAATCTGTTAATACAGTGTAGCTTTAATCTATATGCCTGATTTTAAAATTATCTTTATTTGTTTAAAGCCTTTTTTTGCAGAGGACTCTTCAGTTCTTTTGAAGTTATTTTAAGTGGGGAGACTTGAATCTATTTTTGCCCTGATGGCTTCTCCATTGTCCAACTTCCACTTATTGAGTCACATACTTTCCCCCATATGACATAGTTGATATATAATGGCACCTTTTCTCCTGTTGAAGAACATGATATATTTTTCTACTTATTTAAGGTTTCCTTTCTCCACTGGTAACATTTTAACATTTTCTTCTTATAGATTTTGGATGTTTCTTATTAAATGTGTTTCTGAATAACGTCTTACTACTTTTCTTTCTTGAAAAGGCTATATATTATGCCATTTAAAGCCCAAACTAGGGTTCTTTAGAGAAATAGAACCAACAA